AAGGATAAATACTGAAAAGAAAGAGAAAATATCACAATTTGCAGATGATACGACTGGCTACAGAAATGTCAAAAAGATGAAAAAATACTAGAATAAAAGAGTTCAGCATTGTGAGAGGATATAAATGACTGCCACACAGAGAATCAGTACTTTCCCTTTATATCAGCAATATTCAACTAAAAATTTTGAGAAAAATCCATTCACATTGGTACAAAAACTAAAATATACAGAAACAAATTTTAAATGTGCAATTCTTTATAAAGAAAACTATAAGACTTTCCTGTAAGACATGAAGATAAATGGAAAAATATACCATATTCCTAAAAATACCAAATTCCTAAAAAGGACCCATATCTTCCCATTTTCCACAAATTACTTCATAAATTCAGTACAGTTCTAAGCAAGATCTCAAGAGTTCAAATGGAATTTGACAAACTAATTTTTTTTTTGACAAACTAATTCTAAAATACATCTGGAAGAGCAAAACACTTAATACTATATGATTTCACTCATATGTCAAATTTAAGAAACAAAACAAATGAGGAAAGGGAAAAAAAAAAGAGAAAAGTAAACCAAGAAACAGACTCATAACTATAGAGAACAAACTGATGGTTACCAGACGGGAGGGGAGTGGGCGGATGGAATACACAGGTGATGGCGATTAAGGAGGGCACTTGTGAAGAGTACCGAATGTTGTATGAAAGTGTTTAATCACTATATTGTACACCTGTAACTAATATAACACTGTATGTTAACTAACTGGAATTTAAATAAAAACTTAAAAAAAATAACCCAAATTTATTTTTAAGAAGAAAAACAAAGGGAATGTATCCCATAAAGTATTTACATTTGCTTTAAAATAATAGCTTATTCATTTAATCATTCAGTGAATATTGACTGGATGTACACTATATATCGGAATGCTTTTTTAAAAAAATTTTATTTATTTATTTGAGAGAGAAAGAGTGCTCACGAGCAGGGGGAGGAGCAGAGGGAGAGGGACAATCAAGACTCCATGCTGAGCGTAGAGCCCAACGTGGGGGGCTTGATCCCACAATCCTAAGAGCATGACCTGAGCTGAAACCGATTTGGACACTTAAACCCACTGAACCACCCAGGTGCCCCTAGAACTCTTATAGGAAAACAGAATTGAAAAAAAAAAACACACAAAATCCCCTCTCCCAGAAATTTATATAAGGACTTCTGATTCTGATAATGGTAGACTACATAATCTCAATAATTTCTCTCACTGAGGTCAACTAAAAAGGTTGGATTAATAAAAACAAAAATATCATATAAGCAACAAAGAAATAACATGAGAGTAAAGAATTATCCAAGTCACACTCTAAGAGAAGACAAGAAACCCTCTGGACCACCCAGTAATAAAGCCTTTTATTTTTGCCCAGAGGGCATATCCTATCTGGAAGAAATAGGTATGAAATTAAGTTGCAATTTCGATGGCTGCATGGAGCTAGTAGAACAAACGGTATTCACAGGGTAAAAGGTGAACCAGAGGTATATGAACTTTCCCATGATCTAGCTCTTATTATAGATAGCCTGACTTTGGGTCATCTGGTAGACTAGGAAAATACAAATCTTGAATTTGGGTTTAAGGTGTTCTAAACTGGTAGAACCCCTAACTCATCTGGCAGAAGTGGGGATCGGAGGGGGAGACGAACCATGAGAGACTATGAACTCTGAGAAACAAACTGAGGGTTCTAGAGGGGAGGGGGGTGAGGGGATGGGTTAGCCTGGTGATGGGTATTAAAGAGGGCATGTATTGCATGGAGCACTGGGTGTTATACGCAAACAATGAATCATGGAACACTACATCAAAAACTAATGATGTAATGTATGGTGATTAACATAATAAAATAAAATTTTTAAAAAAGTAAATGAAAATCCTATGGGAAGAGATATTATCCTAGTCTTCAAAACAGTTCTAGAATAGTTTCCAAATATAATGTCTAAAAATAATGTCTAAAAATAAAAATAAGCATCTAGGCACATAAGAAAACAAGATACCATGAACAAGAAGCAGGAAAAGCAGCTATGAATAAGCCCAGACCCACAATTATTTGGAATTATCAGTGGGAGAATATATAAATAACTATGCAGACTATATTTAAGGAAGTAACAGCCACATAGGCTACTAGAAACAATAAAAAGCATATCTGAAAAAGAACCAAGAGAAATTCTAGATCTGAAAAATATTACAACCAAAATTAAGACTTCAGTAAATGCGGTTTAGTAGTACCTGAGAAAATGAGTAAACTGGAAGATGGGTCAAAAGAAACTTTCTGAAATGTAGCACCAACAGGCAGAAAACTGAGAAGAAATGGTAAAAACCTAGAGGACACAGTGAGAAGGATTTAACATACATTTAGTTCCAAAAGAAAGAGAGAATGAGGCAGAAGAAATAGCTGAGAGACAATAACTAGGAAATTTCCAACACGCAGTAGAGATCCCAAACTTGACAATAATAAAAAAGAAATTCCCATCCATATAGTAAAACTTTAGAAAACTAGAGATAAAATTAAGTAAATATATTAAAAGTAATCAGGAAATATAGAACAGCTTATTTTAAAATGAGTAACAGCTGAACTTGCAAGAATACTAGGATGACTGGTGGCTGGGGGCCCTTAAATAGCTTCAGGATGGGAGCTGGTCACCAGAAAAACCAAGGCATGATTAGAGGATTGCAAATTTTAGCACTCCTCCCCACTACCCATATACCCTGGCCCTGCCAAGACCCCCCAGGAGAGGGAAGAGAGCTTGAGATTGAGTTAACCACCAATGTCCAATGATTTAATCCATTTAGTTGATTTAATCAATCATGCCTATGTAACAAAACTTCCATAATAACTTCTAAGCAGTGGGGTTCAAAGAGCTTCCAGGTTGGTAAAAGCATCATGATGCTGGGAGGATGGTGTACTCAGAGAGAGCAGGGAAGCTCCATGCCACCCTCTTCCCTGCATACCTTGCATCTCTTTCCATTTGTCTATTCCTGAGTTATGTCCTTTATTTATTTTAAAGATTTTATTTATTTATCCATTTGAGAGAGAGTGCAGGGCAGGGAGGAAGGGAGGAGCAGAGGGAGAGAGGGACAAGCAAACTCTGCACTTAGCACAGAGCCTGGCATGGGGCTCGATCACACGACCCTGATATTATGACCTGAGCCAAAATCAAGAGTTGGACGCTCAACTGATTGAGCCATCCAGGCACCCCCTGAGTTATGTCCTTTATAATGAACTGGCAAAGTCAAGTGTTTCCTGAGTTCTGCAGGCTCTTCTAACAAATTATTGAGTTTGAAGAGGGTGTTGTGGGAACCCCCAACTTACAGCAGTTGGTCAGAAGTACAAGTGACCTGGTACTTGTGACTGGCATCTGAAGTGTGGGGACTGAGCTCTTTAGCCCAATGAGTCTGCTGCTAACTCTAGGTAGTTAATGTCAGAATTGAATCCCATTCCTGGATACCTAGTTGGTACCTGGAGAATCAGAGAATTTGTTGTTGGTATTGGAAAATGCTCCAGATCTAATATTCAAAGGTTAGCCTAGACAACGTACCACTCAAATTTAAAACTGGGAAAACAGTATACATTATAATACATACAATCACAAGTACATTGAAACAGTAAGACAAGAGAAATATAGTAAGCGGTTACAAGTAAATGTCTTTGAGTGATTATACCAAGGTAATGTACCCCATCTTTTACTTTTTCATTATCATAGTATTTCTAAAATGAGCATATATTAAGCTTTCTTTGGAAAAAAAAATCAAAGCTATCTTTTAGACTAATAGGTTTTAACTACACAGTTCTTGAGAGGTTATAAAAAAGTCTATTAAATTACTACTGAAAAACTATCATCTCCTTAACCCATAATTAAATGTGAATTCCAAAACAGAGATATTAGCTACACCAAGGTTCTAATATATTCTAAAGAAGCATAGTAGAAAATATTAGTTTTAGAGAAGTTAACTTTTTTGTCTTGATGCTACTAAATAAACACTTTTAACCACATTTTTTAAAAAAGAAAAAAGCTCTAATACTAAAGAAGCTCAAATATTTTAGGTAATGATAAAAAAAAAGAATTAAAAGAAAATTAGGCAATACTTAATATTGAATCATGCCATATTTTGATACCATGTAACTTGAGACAATATAATTTCTTTTCTAGTAGAAGCCAAATGAGAATAAGTCTTAACTCTCTAGCTGTCAAATAAAAGATAAACTTTGCTTCCAAAAGAATTTTTAAAATTTTGAAACCCAAATATCTTTACCATGAAAAATGTTTTTTGTTTAATTTACTTTCCAGGAATCCCTCTAGTTTACTGTTTTTAATTTGAATTACTCTAATTCTTCTCACGTGTAGAAAAAGAAATTCTTGTTTTAAATAGCTTAACATAAAAAATTTAATCTAGATTTGCTTATAAAATCTGTGGTCAAACTACCTACTCTACTTGTATTCTTACATCTTGATAGTTTGCTTAATAAAATCACAGAATTATAAAAATTAGAGCTGAAAGGGGCTATAGTGATTGCTAGTTTTGTCCCCCCAAAACTGTAACTTTTTTAAATTTCTGAACTCTACTTGCTATGTAAGTAACTCTTCCAATTTAAAAAATATATTCATTTATAACTATCAATGAAACATGCTCAATAAGAGAAAACTAGTATATACAGACTTGGTATAATTTCAGTTGGAAGTAAAGAAATTTGAAATTTTAGTCTCATCTTTATAGAGAAATACAGTTTCTATTAGGCATTTCAAAAAATAAAAATAACTTAGAAGTACTTTTCCCTTATCTAGTACCCCAGAGATCAGGAGACCCTTGGTTGAGAATGATCCATCTAATCCAACTTCCTAATTTCATATATAAAGTATATGAATAAAGTAACCTGCTAAGTATACACAATTTAAATAAAATAAAACACAACCTCAAGTGGACTATTTCCACCAGTGATAAAAATAAGAAATGTTTCACAATATAGACATTATAATTTTCTTTAAGTCTTTTTTTATTTAGAGATTTTTCTGGTAAGGAGATATACCATAGGAAAGCAATTTCACTGGCAGTGAGGTATGTATATACTCTACCAAAATACTCCTTATTTTAACTGTTTTTAACTTTATTTACATACGAAGAAAATTATCAATGCATATCCTTGTTTCAACTATAGTATTAGCCATACTACATGAAATAAAATGAAATGGTGCTTGCATACAAAACTGTTATTTGTAAAGGAATCTGATTGCAGGTTAAAAGGAATAATTTGTTTTTGGAAAGAGTTTAAAAGAATCACAATTTATCATGACCAAGACATCTGCACCATATTTTCCATTCCTCACAGCACATTTATTTCAGTAATTCCGTTATGTCGGTTCTTAGCATGAGCATAGTGTTACACGATTTTCGTACATATAATCACATCCAAAACAAGTTCTAAAATTTAAATTGTAAACATTCTCATCATATGTAGAAATATTTCAATTGGTGTATTAAGTTTTGCTAACTGATCAAATTTGGAATATAAATGAGAAAGCCTATTCTAAGTTGTGTAGTGAGCATTGTTTATTAATTACATTTCTACAATGTTAAATAAAGAGGCAAACCTGTCCTGTAAGCATGTCAAAATTTAGGTAAAACATTAAAAAGAAACAAATCTGTTAACAAAAGGATGTCTTGCAATAAAGAACATTAGATTTTTTAAATCTATTATGATACAAAAATGTAAAGGGTAAATAGCATCTTTGTTGACAAAGTAGGAGGTAGCATGGATGCACCACTTTATTGTCTGAGAAATGCAACTGGAGTAAAGAATATTTCCTTACCACAAATAATTTCCAGGACTATGTACATATTTCTTTTAGAAATACTTGTTTAAACAAATCTCCCTCCACTTTTTAGTATAAAAAAAACCGTTCCATGTGATTTTAAAAAAACACTTACACATCTAGATAGAATAGTACTCTGCCCTATTTGAGTGAACAGTCTCAAACTATGAAGTACATGATATTTAATGCCCTAAGTTGAGTAAATTTAGTTTAGCGGTTCCTGATATTATACAAAACACTAAATACATACAAACAAAATATAATATCTTATTTTTCAATGCAAGTCTTGTGGGGAATAAACAGAACCTTGATTCCGGTAACACTGCAGAAAATGTAATTTTCCAATAAGTCTGTCTTTAAGTTATCCATGTGCAACAGTTTATTAATGACTGCTTACGTGTACATCTTTTGTTGAGTGAACAGTTAACTGACAAAACTTAGTAAACCTTAAAAACACATCTTCCATCCTATATAAAATATATAGACTACTTACTGTTTGAAGTACTCAGTTTGCTCTGATGTCACTGTAATTCACTTTTCCCCATTTTCCTGCTTTAGTATTTATAAACGGATAATTTAACGTGGCTTTAAAAAAAAAAGACAAAGAATTTCAAATTTACATCCAATTTAAATTTGCTATTTAAAAGGTTTCCTTGTTCTATGAAGCTGCTTCTGCCATTAGTAGAGAAAATGAAGTTTCTGTAATGGAGGCAGGCTTTTTAAGTAGTGACGTGACTTCCACCATGCCAGCTCCAGTCCGTGGAAGATTAGCGTTTACAATGTGTCGTTGTAAGTGCTTAATCCAGTCTTCCTGAACAGACAATGGTCCACGAAAGACTAGGCCACAAAACCTATAGAAGAAGTTGATAACAGTTCTCTTAACATGACCAATTCCCTTTATTTAAAACCAATTCACATAAAATCCATAAACATAAGAAGTAGACTTTACTATATCTTGGAGATACTATCATATACTGGAGTACTTGACAACAGTTTTTAAATACATATAAAGTCAAAATGATTTAATATAATATAAAACTGCCAATTCACATGCTTAACAGCTATATTACCTGTAGTAATATTAGTAGAGGTGGAAATACTGTTATTAAATTAATTAAAAGGTCTTAATACCTATCCATCTCAATACACTTAAAACAACCATAATTCCAAAATGTACCATTCTTTTCAAAAGACCCTTCCCCAACTCAGAATTCCTTAAACCTCATGCGGATGAGTATACAAGGAGGTGGGAATAAGTTTGCATAGCTATACTTAAAGTATGAGTGGAGAGAAATGTAGTCCCAAGAAGCAGAAACTCAATAAAAAAAAATTCAAACCAAAGTAAACCAAACAAAGCAACTAAATAAGACACAACAACAAAAAAAGCTACTTTCATAAATCACAGTATCACTTAAGTTCTGAGATGATATAAAAAATTTATTCATCAGTTATGAAATAGTGTATTATGAGCTAAGTAAGATTTTAAGCCTGTCTCCAAAAATTCATTTATAACTTGATAGCTGAGAATGCACCTTCTGCCACAAATTAAAAACCTCTAATATGTCTCAAAGCAAAATGTGAAGAAACTGAGCAGATATGGCAATATAAGCATATACCTGCATCGGAGAATGTAAACCTCGTCAGCACCATGAGGTAATGTTAGCATTTTCTTCTTGCTTCCAGATCTTGACCTTGATTTCTTTTGCTTACAATCTAAGGCTAAAAAAGGGAAGAGAAAGACTTAACATTTTATATATATTCTAAAATATAAATACATACTTCTAGAGAGGTCAGGCCATCTAAACCAAGTTAGAAAAAGTCTACATTCATTTGTATTCCCTGAAGCATGCACTAACTTGTAGCTGGGTCTGTAACAACAGTAACATTCTTCCTGTACTACTTTTCAAATAATGCTTTATCATATACCAAACTAGAACTGAGAGAATGTAACTAAACTTGAAATTACTAAATTGGCCAATTATTACAATGGTAGTCTTTCCTCTTACAATCATAAGTACATTATTTTCATATCTAATTAATCTTCCTTATTTCCAGGAAAATTATAACCTTTTATTTAAGATCATTAAATTAAGTTTCCATCTGATGACTATTCCATTATTCTCACATGCTTTGAAAACTTAGTAAAGAATCAACAACATAATAAAAAGTCAATGAGAAATCAATTTTACAGCAAATACATAATAAATAGCTCTTAAAATTATATGCTAGCCCTACATTTGGAAGGGCAAAAAAAGCTCAATTCTCATTTTTTAACTCAACCTGTATTGCACGTACAATAATTTTTATTTTACTAAGAAATAAATGGAAATCCAGAATATCTCACATAAATTTACAAATGGACCAGAAACGTAATGCTAACTATTCTTCACATTTTTTTTAATTTTACATTTTCTCCTATAACTTATTTTTAAACTGTGATTAAAAAGGGAAAAAGATTTTTATATTAAAAGTGGATCAAAATTTTAGTGCTGTTCTTGAAATTACTTCAATTACTTGACTTCTCCTTCAATCACTTATTTCTAAAAAATATAATTTAATAAAGGGAAAAAAGGTATTTTTTTGTAGGTAGGAATGACAGGACATAACATTTTATTGGTTTTTGAATACAACTACACCATTCCTTTGGACAAAGGGATGACAATATTCCAGGGTGCTGCTGGTCAATTAGCAGGAAGAGAAGGTAAGAGTTTATCTCTAGGGATCCAAGGGGGAGGGAAACAAATGTAACAGAAGAGTTACACAAATGGCTTTTCTTCTGTTAACCTGTCATGTGAAATCCCTTGAAAAATTCTAGGTAAGAGAGAATAGGAACTGGCTATTCAAGGATTCTGTGAAATGAGCTGTTCAAAGTCCAGATTCCAAAAGAATAGATGCTACAATTACAAAACCAGTGAACACAGTTCCTTACAGTAGTCAAGTGGCAATGCTAACAGAAATGTCATATAGAAAATTAAAAACCATGAGAAGCCTAGATAAATCTCATTCAAGCCACTGGTTTCTGCTTCTTGTAACCTGCCTCTTTAAAAGTAAAATCCTGCTTGGGTCCAGAGTATTCCTTTGCTTATGCTCAGAAGAAGAATCTAATAAGTAAAGAACTGCAGGAAATCAAGTTAAGAATGGCTAATTCAAAGCTAAGTAACCAAAATCTGGAATAGAAAAATCTTATAAATTATTAGTTATCTCAGTCAAGAGCCTGGCACATAGTAGACACTCAACAAATACTTCTGGTGAAAAAACAAAGGAAAACCCAATAATTTAACCTTTGACACTTAGGCAGCGTATGAATGGAAATTTGTTCTACCAATATGCAATATAGGTAGCATTCCTGTAGAACACCTGTGCGTCATTTGTTTAAATGAATATGTTGCTAACAGTCACATTGAAATTCTTCATTGATCAGTCTAGCTTAGATGTAGAAACTAAGTTCTTCACAACCATTAGGAAGAGTGAGGTACCAAGTGCTTTGTAATTAGCACCTTCTTTTTCCTAGTTGCACTGGTGAGCAATCTGAATTTAAGTGGATTTTAAAGCATAAAGCAATTCATACACTAGAAGAGTTTAGGGAACTCAAAGGGCTAAGTGCTACTAGATGTCAGCTATTCTTTCCCTATCTAAAAGGTAAACCACACACAATCCCTGTCTTTGTTATGTGGAACAGAGTAAGCATTTTTGGTTTATCATGAGATTATAGGGAGAATCTTACTTTGATGAGCTTGCTGGTTGTCAAAATTGCCACACTGTATTCAAATTCCTTTTAAAATGTAAATAAATTACTGTAGGATACAAACAGAATGCATTATAACAATACTTCAAAAATTTGTTCACAGAATGCTAATGTTAAGTGTGTAAAGCAAATTTAGGGAGAAGGGCAGAGGGTGATGGGCAAGTATGCAACAGAATGTTTTTATCAGTTATATTTAGATGCCATAATTCTTTAAAAATGGAACTGGACATGTTTACTTTGAGATATAGAAATGTTTTTGACTTTAATACAGGAAAAATAATTTTTCTGACTTTTGATGTTGTACAGACTCTAGAAACTGGGGTTTAGGATGTTTTACGAATGATCAGATCTAAATTTTAAATGACAATGCCATAAGCTTTTGTAGTAATTAATATTTGAAGGTATCATGACTTTGGAAAATAGGACAACTCTGCCAGCATATGACTGAGACTCTCCATTACCCAGGATTCCAAGTAAGTTTAGAGAACCACATGCATTGGGCATCCTTGGAAGTTTGTCCATAAAGTAAGGATATTAAAAACTTGGGACCTCTGGTAATTATACTTAAGTACCTTGGTGTCTTAACATCTCCATGATCACTTTTAAATTTCTTATCCCCTGAAATGTCACGTATTTATTTTAGATGGTAAAACATGAATACATTTTACAAGAATAGTTTTTTTCTAATACCAACATCCAAACTTCACCCCTGCATTATTGCTCAAACATTTTAGAAAAATCTGCAAAGAAATGAGTATTTAATATATTATTAATATGCACACAAAGGGGACATCCATATGGTATTATCTACATGAAAAAGATGATTTACACAAAATGTTCCACTAAATGAGAAAGATGATGTACAAACATATCTATTACACAAATGTTCTCATTCAACAGTTTTTATTATATGTAAAGGGAAAAGCAGTTTTATTCTGGACTGTACCAGGAGTCATTAGAACATTAAAAGCAGAACACTAACACATTCAGTTTTAATATAATGGGACATATCAATATTTGTGATAAATAGCCAAAGCTTTAACAAAGTTGTTTACATTAATAATCTGCCAAATATATCTTTATACAAAGCATTTCTTTGTAAAAGGATTTTATTTGCACTTATTTGTTAGTGTCAAAAAATAAAAACACACACACTTTTTATCTCTTCCAAAGTATTTTAAATCTAACACTGTTTCTATACTTAAAATTTACACAAAATACTAGATTGGTTTTAGAATCTTAATTTTCTTCTCCTTGAGTATAACTGCATTTTAGAAAGGAACAAACTCAGCCATTCAAACCTTCCTAAGGTACCTATTCAGGGAGGCAGAAATGTTTAAATGATCAATTTTAAGCAGAAGACTGTTAAAAACATCTTTGCAGTTATCTGATTTATAAAGGATCTAATCTGCTACTGGGAGTATTTTACTTATAAGGATAAACTATGCTGTAAGGTTATATACAAAGTTTTAGCATATACCTTTCCTTTCAGTAAAACAGCTGTTTGATCAAATAGGAATGAAAGAGAAATACAGTAGACTTATGAACCCTCAAAAAGAACACCACACTGCTATGCTACAAAATACAACAACAGCAACAGCAACAGCAACAACAACAAAATGTGTTTAAAGCACTAAACCAGATCAGTTAAAAGCAAATAATCAATGAGTAACACAAGAGATACAAATTCGAGTTTGCTTTTTGAGCCTTATTTAGTTTTATACCTGGAAGAAAAATAATTTACTTTGGGCTCCAACATTTAATAAGTCCTTTTGACACTTCTACCTTTCTGCCCATTACATACAACTATTTCAGTGAATTTCATTTTCTTTTTAGTTCACTACACAAATGACCTCCAAAAATGAGTATTTATTTTTTAGAAACATCTGAAGCTTCAGTGTGGTAAAGAAGGACATCATAACTAAATTAACATTCACCTCCAAAATACTTTTATTTGCAATCATCCTCCCCTACCCATTTAATTCAAAGTCCCATCTCATCTGTTTTGTTCCTAACTGGTTTTCGGCATCTCTGGAGTAAAATGAAACTTAATACAATGGCCAGGTTATACACATCCAAAATAAGAGGTATAGTATAGCTCTACTAGAGGGAAGAAAATTTCTTCTCCATCTCACTGGCCTGTATAAGATGGGTAGGCAGCAATAACAGCTATGAACTCATTCAGGAAGACAGTAGGGATAAAGAAGATGGAAAGAGGTAAGTCATCATTCCACCACCATTAACACACTGGTGGTGGAGGTAAGTAGTGGCAGTGGAGAGGTGGGAGGACAATGCCTATGTCCCAAGGGGTACACATATGTGAGATGATAAATAAACTCAATTCTAGTTGCTGTCATTAGTCCTTCAAAGTTCTTAAGTCCCAAGCATATAAAAGACTGTGCAAAGAGCATTTTGTTTCCCTCAGCCCCAGCTGAAAAGGGAACATCGCTTTTGGTGGCGGGAGGAATGGGAGGAGAAACATATTACCTTGTATAAAATAGGGATGGGGGATAGAGGAAGCCAAATTCTTATTTCTTCAGTGTACACTCTTCTCTTTGCATAAAGTGCCTACAAGACAGACTTCATGGGTATATGACTTGTGCAGTCACACAGGATCCCATACTTGGTTAAACACTGTTGTTACACGCAATCTTGAAATTCTTAAGTTTTTTTAACACAAGACGTTACATCTTCATTTTGCACTGGATCTTGCAAAATATGTTGCCAGTTCTGGGTCCTGAGTACCTACCACTCTAAATGAGAAAGCCAGCCCTCAGCTCCACCTCTTAATCTCTTGACTCAAAAAAACAGCTACTAAGAGAAAAATTGTTAAATCCCACTCTCTATAGCCTATTAAAATGGAAAAGGACTTCCCTACTTCCAATACCAATTCTTTGTTTCTAGGTATACTACCATAATCAAACCAGTCATTATTCCCAAGATACATATAAAGCAGTTTAAGGGGTTTACTGTC